TCCCCACCCCTCCACCCCCATCCCTCCACCTCCACCCCCCACCCTCTCCCTCTCTCTCTCTCAAAAAAAAAAAAAGGAAAAAAAAAGCTAATCGAAAGTAGCTGATCTCAATACACACTTCCAAAGGCGATCGAAGAGGTCTAAATCTTTCTGTCAAACTCGAGCAATCTTCCAGCGCGGGAAAATTGAATCCTTTCAGCTTGAAGGATGAGAAGTTTGCTCCGAGGTCCTTCCATAATGGCGGCGGCCGCGCTGTCGACGGGGGGATGCGAGCGTAGGTTTTATTTTATCTTTATCTTTCCTTTTTTTTTCTCTCTGTTTCCTTTTTTTTTGTTTTGTTTTGTTTTCATTTCCTTTCTTTTTCCTTTCTTTTTTTTCTTTCTTTTCTTTTTCCTTTCTTTTTTTTTCTTTCTTTTCTACTTTCCTTGTTTTTTTGTTTAGTTTATCGTCACGGTTTCTGTTTTTCTTTTTAATGTTTGTTATCCCTTTTTGCATGAGAGAGAAGGAGAGAGATAAAAAGGGAGAGGGAGCGAGAGAGAGAGAGAGAGAAAGAGAGAGAGAGAGAGAGAATGAAAGAGAGAGAGAGAGAGAGAGAGAGAGAGAGAGAGAGAGAGAGAGAGCAAGAGAGAGAAAGAAAGAGAAAGAGAAAGAGAGAGAGAGAAAGAGAGAAAACGGCCGAGTCGAAGGATAACACCCGTAGATTTTTACCTGGAGAAGGGAAGCCGAAGGAGGAGGGGGCTGCGGGGTCGGGTGCTTTATTTTCTGGATTTTTTGCTTTCTCTCTTTCGTTTGTCGTTACGTTTGTGTGTATCTGTTTATTGCTCTCTGTAATACCTTTGTGTATGGGATGCTCTACCTGTCTATTTGACTGTGTGTCTGTTTCCCCCACCCCTCTGTCTCTCTCTTTCTCTCTGACTCTCTTTCTTTCTCTCCCCTCCACACCACTCTCTCTCTCTCTCCCTCTTTCTTTCTTTCTTTTCACCACTCCTCTCTCTCTCTCTCTCTCTCTCTCTCTCTCTCTCTCTCTCTCTCTCTCTCCCTCTCTCTCTCTCTCTTTTTCCCCCACTTCTCTCTCTCTCTCTTCTCTTGTTCCCCCACTTCTCTCTCTCTCTCTTCTCTTTTTCCCCCTACATTTCTCTCTATCTTTCTCTCCCCCCCCCCTCTCTCTCTTTCTCTCTCTCTTTCCCCCACCTCTCTCTCTCTCTCTCTCTCTCTCTCTCTCTCTCTCTCTCTCTCTCTCTCTCACTCTCTCATTCTCTCTCTCTCTCTCTTTCTTTCTCTCTTCCCCTCTCCCCCCCTCTCTCTCTTTCCTTCTCTCTCCCCCCCCCCACCTCTCTCTCTTTCTCTCCTCCCCCACCCCTCTCTCTCTCACTCTTTCTCTTTCCTCCTCTTTTCCCCCACCACTCTCTCTCTCTTTCTCTCTTCCCCCCCATCTCTCATTCTCTCCCCCCCTCTCTCTCCCCCACCACATCTATCTCTCTCTTTCTCTCTTTTCCTCTTTCCCCCCACCTCTCTCTCTCTCTCTCTCTCTCTCTCTCTCTCTCTCTCTCTCTCTCTCTCTCTCTCTCTCTCTCTCTCTTTCTCTCTTTTCCCCCTACATTTCTCTCTATCTTTCTCCCCCCCCCCCCTCTCTCTCTCTCTCTCTCTCTCTCTCTCTCTCTCTCTTTCTCTCTTTCCCCCTACATTTCTCTCTATCTTTCTCTCCCCTCTCTCTCTCTCTCTCTCTCTTCTCTCTCTCTCTCTCTCTCTCTTTCCTCCACCTCTCTCTCTCTCTCTCTTTCTCTCTTTCCCCCCCCATCTCTCTCTCTCTCTCTTTCTTTCTCTCTTCCCCTCTCCCCCCTCTCTCTCTTTCTTCCTCTCCCCCGCACCTCTCTCTCTCTCTCTTTCTCTCTTTCCCTCTTTTCCCCCACCTCTCTCACTCTCGTTCTGTCTTTCCCCCCCATCTCTCTTTCTCTCCCCACCCCCTCCCTCTCCCCCACCAAATCTTTCTCTCTCTCTCTTTCCTTTCCTCTCTCTCTATCTCTCTCTCTCTCTCTCTCTCTCTCTCTCTTTCCTCCACCTCTCTCTCTCTCTCTCTTTCTCTCTTTTCCCCCCCATCTCTCTCTCTCTCTCTTTCTTTCTCTCTTCCCCTCTCCCCCCTCTCTCTCTTTCTTCCTCTCCCCCGCACCTCTCTCTCTCTCTCTTTCTCTCTTTCCCTCTTTTCCCCCACCTCTCTCACTCTCGTTCTGTCTTTTCCCCCCATCTCTCTTTCTCTCCCACCCCCTCCCTCTCCCCCACCAAATCTTTCTCTCTCTCTCTCTTTCCTTCTTTTCCCCCCACCTCTATTTCTCTCTCTCTCTCTCTCTTTCTCTCTTTTCCCTCCACCTCTCTCTCTCTCTCTCTCTTTCTCTCTCCCCCCCCCCCACCTCTCTCTCTCTATCTCTCTGTCTCCCCCCCCCTCTCTCTCTCTCTTTTCCCCCCACCTCTTTCTCTCTCTCTCTCCCCCACCTCTCTCTCTTTCTCCCTCCCTCCCTCTCTCCCTCCTTCTTTCCCTCTCTCTCTTCACCCCCCTACCTCTCTCTCTCTCTCTCTCTCTCTCTCTCTCTCTCTCTCTTTCTCTCCCAAGCCATCACTACTGCAACTAACACCATTATTAATATTTCCGATTATGACCTTAACACCACCGCATTGCTGCTACTCATCCTACTGCTACAGAAACACTCAATCAAGTTGATTCATCCTCTTAACTAGAATATTGTATGTGAGAGCTGGTGCCTGAGGGCAGGAGAGCTAGAGAGATGGATTTCGTGAGCGTGATATCTAGTCTAGTGTGTGTAAATTATTATTTTTTTTCTTTGCGTATCTCTCTCTTTGACTCTTATTTTCTTTGTATTTTTCTCTTTGTCCCTTATTCTCTGTGTATTTTTATTTTCGTCTCTTATTCTCTGTTGTTCTATTTTCATTTGTTGGTTATGTCTTCTTTGTCTGTCTGTCTCTCTGTTCTCTTGCCTCTGTTTCCTTTCCTCCACTATTCTATTTTTTTTTATCTTTCCTTTCCTCTTTTCCTCATCCTCCCTACCTCTCCCTTCCATATCCTTCTTTACCTCTCATTTTTGTCCTCTTCTCTCCTCCCTTCCTCTCCCATTTTTCCCTTCCTCTCCCCCTTCCATCCTCTATCTATCATCTTCTGTCTCCCTCTTTCGTTGGATACAAATGCAACACATGGCGATAAAACTTCTTAAAGGGAGAGAGAGAGAGAGAGAGAGAGAGAGAGAGAGAGAGAGAGAGAGTTATAAGTGGTATTAAGTGGTACCTTGTTCCAGATCATGGGTCACGTTTTAATAACATCTATAATAATAACTGTGATAATAATACTATTATCATTGGTGCTGCTATCTTTACCACTATTATCATCGTTAGTATTATCATAATCATTATAATTATTACTATCATTGATATATTATTATTGCTATTGTTATTATTATTATTATTATTATTATTATTATCATTACTATTATTATCATCATCTTCATCTCCATTACCATTATAATTGTTCGTATTATTATCATTATTGTTATTATTGTTATCCTTATTACTGTTCTACTATTATCATTGTTGTTATTATTGTTATTATTTTTATCATAATTATTGTTATTATAATAATTATTGTTATCATTACTATTATCATTATCACTTTTATCTCTATAACTACATTCATTTTTTCATTATAATTTCTATCACTATAACTACCATCTTTATCATCATTATTAATATTGCTATTACCATTGTCATTTCTATCAATTACTATTATCTTAGTTATTATCATCATTATCATTATCACTATCACATTTTTCATCCTTGTTTTCTTTTCTGCATTAATCCTACGTCATAACCGCGTCAGAATTACGTCATAACTACGTCATAACAGCTCTCAAGTTGCCAGCGAAGGCAGAAAACTTAGACCATATTTAAGCTAAATATTACTGTTAGTCTCATTAACAAGTCCTCAAAAAAGGAAAACAAGAAGAAAAAAACTTATATAAATCTATTTTCTCCTTTTTTTCTAAATTAATTAATTCAGCTTTAGATATTAGCTTGCCGCGTATGTGAGGTAATTCCGCTGTGTTCGGATTTGGCTTGGCTTAGGCTTAGCGAGGAAGATGTTTACATTATATTGCTCGTTAAATGCAAAATGAAATGGCCTGAATTTCCAGATGTTATGTAAGGTAGATTATGTGGAAAATATATTGTTATCATATCCGACAAATTACATTATATTATAAAGATCAGTGTAACTGTTTTTATTATTAACATTAATAGTATTGTATATATTTTATTGTTGTCAATTGCAATAGCCATCGTAATAATTTTACAATAGTAACAATGATGATTATAATGATAATGATAATAACAATAATGATAATGAAAATAAAGATGGTGAAGATGATGATAATAATAATAATAACAACAATAACAATAAAAATGATATTGATAAATATGATGATAGCATTGATAAGGACAGTGATAATTATAATAACACTAATAATGATAATAGCATTAGTAATAATGAGGATAATGATAGTGATGATAGCAATAATAGTAACAAGAATGATGATAATGATAACAACAACATTAATGATAATGATGATGATGATAATGATAATAGATTACTATCATTATTACTATTATTATTATTATTATAGTATTCGTAGTAGTAGTAGTAATGATAATGATTATAATAATCGTCATAATAATGATAATAATAATAATAATAATAATAATAATAATAATAATAATAATAATAATAATAATATCAATAATAATAATAATAATAATAATAATAATAATAATAAAATCCCCGAGGCCTTGAAATACCGGGTTGGCGTCCGGCGGGGGCTAGTCTGTCTCATGGGTAGGGGGGACTCTTTTAGTCTTGGTTGACAGCCCTCCTAGAGTTGGTGTCTCGATAAAAACACCGGTGGTTGTGACACCTATCACCACAAACCTCATCATGAGTGAAAATGAACCAAAACAGAAATGTAGATAACGACGTGAATGGCACTGGAACTTCAGGTGAAGGTGCCTCGTCCGGCAGGTGTCCTGTGGATGAGCAGCGCAGACCCGGTCGTAACCAAGAGACTGCCAGAATGAAGTGGACGAAAGAAATGAATATTGTCGTCATGGAATGTTTTTATAGTGCTGATCCATTTGATGAGAATGGTGTGCCAATAAGGGGATATCGGCAGCGGATGTATAGAGAATGGCGAGAAAGGGGAATGTTTAACACCAGTGAACAGAGACTGTGTGACCAGGCCAGAGCTATCAGAAAAAATGGTTGGTTGTCGGAGGTGGAATTAGAGGCCATAAGGAGAAGATTGGTAAAACAGAGTGAAGAAGAACATCAGCAAGACGAGGAAGATATATTATCAAGATTGAATATTGAGGAGGTCAATGAGGCTGACATTACAATTGAAGTTAGTGAGGCAGCAGAAATAACACCTGAGGAGCAATTGATCATTGATGAAGTAAAAGGATTGGTGGCACAAGGAGTAACAAATGATAACATCATGTTTAAGAAAGTTGATCAGAAGAGATTAAGTGAAGAAACACTTAAAGTGAATGGAGCCATTAAACACCTTGTGACAGCAGATATCACCCAGACTAATAACCTCATTAAAGCAGCTAGTCTTTGGGTTGCCCAACAGCTAGGATTGAAGACAGTCAAGAAGGAGAAGAAACAGGACCCATGGTGGAAGCGACGTATAGAAGGAGACATAAAGAATTTGAAGAAAGATATCAGCATACTTGAAAGAGAAAAAAGAGGTGAGACTGGTATGAGAGGGAAAAGGAAGGTCAAGAATTTAGGGGATAAGTATGGAATTAAAAGGAAAGGTCTCACAACTGTAATAGAAGAACTGAAGCAAAGGTTATTAGCAAAAGCTGCAAAGATAAAGAGGTATGGAGATAGAATAACACAATACAGACAGAATCGAATGTTTGTAACGGAGCAGAAAAAAGTGTATAAGGAACTGAATGGAGGAGCTAGTGGCGAGAGTGTAATACCGGATGCTGAAGAGAGTAAGAAGTTTTGGAGTGAGATCTGGAGCATAGAAAAAGAACATAATAGACAAGCAGAATGGTTACAGGATCTGAAAGGAGAACAAAGTAACGTAAATATGGGAGATATGGAGATCACAGTAGAGATGGTTAAAACACAGAGTAGAAAGATCCCTAATTGGAAGGCCCCAGGAAGAGACGGTGTCCAAGGTTACTGGATCAAGCAACTGTCGTCATTGCACGAGAGAATTGCAAATCAGCTGAATGAAATTATAAGTGGTGCAAACAGGTTGCCTGAGTGGATGGTATATGGGAGAACTGTTCTATGCCAGAAGGATCCGGCTAAGGGCAGAGCAGTTGATAATTTTTGACCCATATCCTGCCTACCCTTAATGTGGAAGTTACTAACGGGCATGATTGCAGAAGAGATGTATGGCTTCTTGGAAAGTGAGAAAATATTACCAGATGAGCAGAAGGGATGTCGGAAGGGGAGTCGCGGAACAAAGGATCAACTGTTAATCGACAAAACAGTGCTAAAAGATTGCAAAAGGAGAAAGACTAATCTAGCTATGGCCTGGATTGAATACAAAAAGGCGTACGACATGGTGCCCCATAGCTGGATTATTGAGTGCCTGGAGTTGTTTGGTATAGCAGAGAATGTTAGAAAATTCATGAGTGATAGTATGCGATCATGGAAGCTGGAACTGACATCTTCTGGTGAAAGCTTGGGAGATGTGCATATTCACAGAGGAATTTTCCAGGGGGACAGCCTATCTCCACTACTGTTCGTGTTATGCATGATTCCACTGACGTTGATCTTGAGGAAAGTAGCAGCTTCTTATGAATGGGGTAACAAGGAATTCAGAATTAATCATCTATTATTCATGGACGATCTCAAGTTATTTGCCAAGAATCAGGACCAAATAGATTCACTAGTACAAACTGTGCATCTCTTCAGCGAGGACATTGGGATGCAATTCGGATTAAACAAGTGTGGTGTGTTAGTATTGAAGAGAGGGAAAATGGTGAAGCAAAATGGTGTTGCACTTCCGAATGGGCAAATGATGAAAGAAATCGACGAAAGTGGATACAAATACCTGGGTATTGTAGAAATGGATAAGATCAAAGAAACAGACATGAAAGAAAAGTTTACAAGCGAATACAAAAGAAGGTTAAAGTTGGTTTTGAAATCAAAATTGAATGGTAAGAATAAGATCTTAGCAATTAACACATGGGCTGTATCAGTCTTGAGGTATGGGGCAGGTATCTTGAAATGGACAGTAGACGAGTTAAAAAACATGGATAGGAAATCGAGGAAGATTATGACAATGCACGGTGCAGTTCACCTTAAGAGTGATGCAGACAGGTTATATTTGACTAGAGAGAAAGGAGGGCGTGGACTGATTAGCTGCGAGGGTTGCGTTCGAAGTGAGGAGAATAATTTGGGATGGTATGTCCAGAATTCCGTTGAATCATTGATTCGAGGTGTTAGGCTTGCTAAAGTGGTGGGCACTGAAGATGTTGTTAGTAAGGATGAGTTCAAAAGGAGATGGATGAATGAAAAAGAACAAAGATGGAGGGAAAAAAGAATGTACGGGCAGTTTGTTAGAGAGATGCCGGAATCAACGGATGAAAAGAAGACATGGGAATGGCTGAGAAAAGCTGATCTTAAAATACAAACAGAGTCACTTTTGTGTGCAGCGCAAGAACAGGCTCTCCGAACAAACTATGTTAAACACCATATTGACAAATCAGCAGAGTCACCACTTTGTAGGATGTGTGAAGAGAAGGGCGAAACTGTACATCACATTGTCAGTGAGTGCAAGAAGATGGCACAGAAAGAATACAAACGACGGCACGACAACGTTGCGAGGATTGTGCATTGGCATTTATGCAAGAAATACAATCTAGAAAGGACGGAAAAATGGTATGAACATGCCCCCGAGGGTGTAGTTGAAAATGACGAGGTAAAGCTACTATGGGACGTGAATATTCACTGTGATCATTTAATTGAAGCAAGAAGACCAGACATAGTTGTTGTAAGCAAAGGTGAAAGAAAATGCAGCATCATTGACATTGCGGTGCCAGGTGATAGCAGGACTAGTGACAAAGAAAAAGAGAAAGTGGAGAAATATCAAGATTTGAAAAGGGAAATCAAGAGGATTTGGAACATGAGAAGTGTGATAGTTGTACCTGTGATTGTTGGAGCACTCGGCAGTGTAACGAAGAAACTGGATGATTGGTTAGAAAAACTGGATATCACAGTAAATACAGCACTCTTACAGAAGACGACATTATTAGGAACAGCCAGGATATTGAGAAAAGTACTTGAGTACTAAAGGACAATGACTCCAAGGGACCCTTGGTCAAGGGGTTTGACCCGCTCCCTTGGGATGGAAAATTCGGCTATTAGAACTGCCAGTGCTTAAAGCAGAAGTATATGGTAATAATAATAAAAATAATAATAATAATATTAATAATAATAATAATAATAATGACAATAATACAATATAAAACAACAGAAACAATAACAGTGAAAATGATAATAATGGTAGTGATAATAATAATCATGATGATGATAATGATGATGATTATGATGATAATGATAATAATAATAATAATATTATTATTAATAATAATGATAACAATAATAATAATAATAATAATAATAATGATAATAATAGTAATAATAATAATAATAATAATAACAATAATTACAATTATTAAGAAGAACAACTTATTAACACCAGCACAAAGAGGAGAGGATGAAAACGAAAACGCTCAACAAACCACCGAGGATGACCCAGAAAATAATAACACCAATAGAAGTGAAGATAGAAGTGCTAGTGGAGTTAACAACTATAATAATAATGAAGACACAACTAATGATAACAACAATGAAATTAGTAACAACCCAATTGAAAATAACAACCAGAACAGTACCCACGAGAGTCCAAACTTAATCACACAAGAACCAGAAACAGCACATATAGAAAACGAACAGACAGAAGAAAACTTACCTCCTGAAGATAGGGACCTACTCGAAAAACTTAGAGAGATTTACAAGAACACCCTAGAATCAAGAGACCACGAAGTGCTACCACCTGGAAAGAAGACTGAAAATAAGAAATTGCTACATGTAACTAATAAAGTAGATGCACTACTAAAATTCATTCCAACGAATAACATCACAGAAACCAATAAACTAATTTACAGCGCAGCAAAATTAATATTAAACATATTAGACGTTAAACTAATAAAGAAAGAAAAAGGAAAAAAGGACCCTAATTGGAAACACCGAATAGAAAAGAAGATACAACTATTGCGGAAACACCTAAGTTGGATCAAAGAAATAAGAGAAGGTAGATTAAGAGACGAAGGGAAAAGATATGAAATAGAAAGGAAACACCAACTATTACAGAATGGAACAGCAGCAACAGAGGAGAAAATTAAACAAAGAATACAAGCAAACACTGCAAAAATTAGAAGATATGAGAAAAGAGTTAAGGGTTACCACCAAAACCAGCAATTTAACAACAACCAAAGAAGGCTATATTCCTCGCTGCGAGAAGGAAAACAAACAGAACAACAAAGATTACCACCTCCCGACCCCGACGAAACGAAAGAATATTGGGAAGGAATATGGACAACAAGTAAAGATCACAACAAAGAAGCTGAATGGTTAAAAGAAATAAAAAAAGGAAAAGTAACATCTAACAATAATAACTTTACAATAACCTTAACAGCAATTAGGAAACAACTAGCAAAAACAGCAAACTGGAAAGCACCCGGAGCTGACCAAGTACAAGGTTATTGGATTAAAAACTTTAGGTCACTTCATTCAAGAATAACAACAAATTTACAACAGATAATAACAGAAAGTCAAACCCCAGAATGGATAACAACAGGCAGGACCGTTTTAATAATAAAAGATACAGCGCTAGGAAATAGAGTAACAAATTACAGACCAATTACTTGCCTACCATTAATGTGGAAATTGCTTACCGGTACAATTTACGAACACCTGTACCAACATCTTGAAGAAAACAACATCATCCCTCCAGAACAAAAAGGATGTAGAAAAGGGACCAGAGGAACAAAAGACCACCTCCTCATAGACAAGCTCATACTAAAACAAGCCAAACAAAAGAAAAAGACCTATCAATGGCTTGGATTGATTATAAAAAAAGCATTTGATATGGTCCCACACTCCTGGATATTAGAATGCTTAGAATTAAGGGGAACACCTAATAACATCGTGAACCTAATAAAAAACAGCATGGAAAAATGGAGGACAGTATTAACAGCGGAAGATAAAGAACTATGCGAGGTAAAGATTAAAAGAGGTATTTTTCAAGGAGACTCACTGTCTCCTCTGCTATTCATAATGACATTAATACCCTTAACAACAATGCTGAATAAGAAGAAAGAAGGATATAAGATCAATAAAAATTATAAAATAAACCATCTACTATACATGGATGATCTTAAAATATTTGCACACAATGAAAATGAGATAACCACATTAGTTAAAGAAGTACAGCAATTCAGCCAGGACATCGGCATGGAATTCGGAATTAATAAATGTGGAGTGTTAAACATAAAAAAATGGAAGAGTAACACATACTGACGGAATCGAAGTCGGGGAAAACATCATCAAAAATATCGAAACAGACGGTTACAAATATCTAGGGATATTAGAATATGATAACATAAAACATGAAGATATGAAAGCAAAAATTAAAAGAGAATACCTCAAAAGAATAAGAGCTATCCTAAAATCGGAGCTAAACGGAGGGAACACGATAAAAGCCATCAACACCTGGGCTATACCTGTGCTACGATATTCGGCAGGTATAATAGACTGGACAAAGCTAGAACAACAGAAAATAGACAGAAAAAACAGAAAACTGATGACTATCTACCATTCTTTGCATCCAAGAGCGTGCACAGCAAGATTATACCTAAAGAGAAGTGAAGGAGGTAGAGGATTAATAAGCGCAGAAGAAGCCATCAGAACCGAATGCTGCGCCCTGGGCCAATATATAAAGGAATCTACCAACCCAATCCTAAGATTGGCCTGGACCAACAATATAATAAAAGAAAACGAAGATAGCAAATCATACAAAGAGAGAATGACAGAGGAGAAAAGAACTGAATGGATAGAAAAACCTCTCGCAGGGCAATACCATCGCCAAGTACAAGAAATCCAGGGCAAGAACAGCTGGAACTGGTTAAAAAGAGGAGAAATAAAAAAGAAACGGAGGGACTAATAACATCAGCCCAAGATCAAGCTCTAAGAACCAGAGTAATAAGAGCAAGAATAGAAGGTAGAGGGGGAAATACAAAGTGCAGAATGTGCGGCCAAAAG